CCTGGTTCTTTTTCCTCTCCCACACCTCCAGCTACTGATTCAGTCTGGGGCTCCAAGACTTGGGTGGGCTCTGGGCCTTCACAGAATGATGGCACCATCCTAAACGCCTCTGGGTGGTGTCTGAGAAGAGCGGAAGGCCTGGAGCCACCCAGCTAGATGAGTCCAATAAAAGGCAGGTGTGCAAACAGTCCGCTCTCTGTGTCTTCTTCCTTGACAGAGGACAGAAGGACGGCACAAACTGCAGGAGGGACAGAGGAGTTGGTGAGATGCAAAGCTTTGTAGAGGGAGGTTCTCACTTGGACACCCTAATCACTGCCTGGAAAGCAGGTTCTGGTTAAGGTCTGCAGCGACAGCTGGACTTGCAGAAAATGTGAATTATGTTACTGCTTTATAGCTTCCCTCCAGAACCTGGGACAGCAGGAAGTAATAATGGAAGGCAGAGAAGGACAAGGCAGTGGGCCCTCTGGATGACGGTGCTGGGAGGTCAGGAAGACCTCGCCAGCACCCTTGGTACTAGGCCAACTAGCTATGACCTATACCTTGGGAAATTCCTAGGAAGTCACCTTGCTCAACATCTACTGATAACAAGGGAGGAGAGGGTGCAGTTACTAGGAACACAAAGGGCACTTTTATCCTTTTCCTGATCACCTTGTTGAATAATATTTGTTTTTGATCATTTGCTAGGCTGATTTTCTGTTTAAAAGTTCACATTGCAGGCTCATCGCCTGTAGCTGAGTGAGTAGGGCACCAGCCACATACACCAAGGTTGGGGGTGGTTCGAGCCTGGCCTGGGCCTGCTAAACAATAACAACAATTGCAACCAAAAATAGCCAGGCATTGTGGCAGGTACCTGTAGTCTCAGCTACTTGGGAGGCTGAGGCAAGAGAATCTCTTAAGCCCAAGAGTTTGAGGTTGCTGTGAGCTATAACACCACAGCACTCTACCAAGGGCAATAGTAAGAATGCCTCAAAAAAAAAAATTCATATTGTACTTTTGTTCCTCTCAAACTCACAAATTCAGGCAGAAGACATAAACAGAGGCATGAGGGACTGGGTACATTTCCTCCATGAGGGTGGGACGGGAGAGGGCCTCCCCTCAGAGATTCAGACTGTTTATAACCTGCCAACACCATCACCATTCTTTGGGAGGGCGGTTTTCCTGAACAGCTTTATAAGGATGGTGCCCCAGATTCTTCCTCCAGTGCAGGCATACTTGAAGAATACTGAAAAAAAACAAGTACCAACATCACCAGGGCCAGGTTCTGTCAGTTCTGGTGAAGACACTTGCTGAGAGCCCCCCTGCCCTGTGTCTCTGCCCCACAAATCTTGTCCTGGCAGCTTATTTCCCCCTTCCCTTCTTTGACCACTAGATGGAATATTTCACTTTCTTTTCATTGAAGCCCTGAAGGGACAGTTTTTCAAACTGACCATACTGCTTGAGAATTCCAGTGCCGAGAGGAAAATGTTTTTCCTTTAATCACTCTGCTTCCCTAGGCCGGTTACCAAGGCTCGCGCCTATAATCCTCGCACACTGGGAGGCTAAAGTGAGTGGACTGCCTGAGCTCACAGGTTTGAGACTAGCCTGAGAAAGTGAGAGACCCCGTCTCTAAAAAATAGCTGGGCATTGTGGCAGGCATCTGTAGTCCCAGCTACTCAGGAGGCTGAGGCAAGAGAATTGCTTGAGCCCAAGACTTTGAGGTTGCTGTGAGCTATGACGCAACAGTACTCTACAGAATGCGCCAAAGTGAGACTGTGTCAAAAAAAAAAAATCACTCTGCTTCCTATAACTATTTTCTAAGCACTTGAATCATCCGAGAAGTAAATGTGTAATAGAGGTTAAGAATCCCTGATTGCCTGACCTTCAACTAAAGCTGTCATCGCTGGAGCCTTATTTCAAAAGGGTAACCTGAGTGTTATAGTGGGGATCCCCTGGCATCTTTCTGCAGGGCCTTTTGCTAAATTAAGTTTACCCTCAACTTGACTTTCTTGAATCTCAAGGCTTACAGATTCCTTCCCTGAAAGCCAATCACTGGTATATGAATTATTTGAGGATAGGACCATGCACCAATTTTAGAGTGATAACTGCAGACAAATTGTTTTCCTTATGAAATGAAACAGAATTCAAGTTGGATGCCAGTGTGATTTGTGCATCATCTTAGTGCCACAGCCTGTTGTTACAACCAATCACAGAACCAGTGATCCAGAATGCTGGCATAATGCCACAGGCAATTTAGGGTCTAAGAGGCCAACGAAGACCCCGTCAAGCTGAAAGAATAATTTAGACATAATTTAGGGTAGAGTGATTTTTGCAGAGCCAGAAAGTACCATTTTATGGAATGAGGGCTCTTCATTTGGGCAGGGAAATACTCTTTCTTCAGATAGGGTCTGACTAGTTTGGCTCAGCAGGGAACAGGGAAGGCAGGATTGGAGGAACTTGTTGGAAAATATCTATTTTCCCTAGTTCAGGGGTCCTTAAACTTTTTAAACAGGGTGCCAGTCCACTGTCCCTCAGACCATTGGAAGGCTGGACTGTGGGCCCCGGGACGAGTTGGCTGCTAAGCAGACAGGCAGTGACGGCAAAAACACCGAGCACACCCAGCGGCCAGATAAATGTCCTATGTGGGCTATATGTGGCCCCAGGCCATAGTTTGAGGACACCTGCCCTAGATCTTTAGTTGTATTGTTGTTAAAATGAAGAGAAATGAGAAAGTGTTTCCTCCTCATCTTTTGGTCCCCCTTTTCATTCTCAGAAGTACTGGCTTAGAGTCATAAACAGATAAGGCAAAGCTTTAATATAATCATCCACTTTTCTAAACAAACAAAATCTTTTAATCAAATTTCCCTAGGGGACTCAGAAGCAGGAAGAAGCTCATTAAAAAGCTCTCCCACAAGTGCTAAGATAATGCTTCTCAATTTAGAGGACAGACAGAATCACTTTATCTGAGGGCTCTTGAAAAATACAGCTTGGGGGGCTAGATACAGTGCTTCTAGCAATCTATGAGGCCCTGTCTCTACAGAAAATAGAAAATTTAGCAGGGTGTGGTGGCACGTGCTGTATTCCCAGCTACCCAGTAGGCTGTGAGACAGGAGGGTCATTTGTGCCCAGGAGTTTCTGGGTGCTACTGCTCTCTAGCTGGGACACTAGAGTAGAGACTCTGTCTAAAAAAAAAACAAAAGTCAAAAACAAAAAATCCCATAAAACATAGCCTGGAATAAGTGATTTTAAGGGGCCATGGTATTGAAACACATATTGATGATTATCTCCATGACTGTGTTCCCATAGCTCTATCTACTTAAAGAAACACTGAACCAAATTCAAGAACTTTTCTTATAAAGTTCACAATCATCCTCCAAACTCTCATTTATTAAATATTTGCTATGCTCACAAATTGTGCTACGTACTTTATATGTGCTACGTACTTTATATACATGAGATTAGTTCATCTTCCGACAGACCCTATGAGCAATTTTCGGTTTTTTTGAGACAGAGTCTTAAGCTGTTGCCCTGGGTAGAGTACCGTGGTGTCACAGCTTGCAGCAACCTCCAACTCCTGGGCTTAAGCGATCCTCTTACCTCACCCTCCCAGGTAGCTGGGAGTACAAGTGCCCACTGCAACACCCATCTATGTTTTGGTTATAGTTGTCATTGTTGTTTGGTGGGCCCAGGCTGGATTCAAACCCAAAATGCCTTCACTTACATTCTATCATTAGACTAACACATTGACAGCCATGCTAGAAAATCAATGTTTTTCTTGGGACCATGGTGTTTTATTAGGTCAAACACATTCACCACCACATGAGTTGTATTTAACTCACACTAGTTTTGAGCCTGGGGCCTTGTGAAGCATATATAATTCACGTATCTTGATCTATCTTGACCTAATAAAATACCAGGGCCCCAAGGAAAAAAAATGTTTTCTAGTGTGGCAGTCGAAGTGCAAGAACATGTGAGTTATTCATGCTTCACAAGGCCCCGGGCTCAAAACTAGCAGAAGTTAAATACAACTCGAGTGGCAGTTAATGTGTTAAAAGCCTGTGAAGGTAGCATGACTGTTTTTATTTTTTCACAGAAGACACTGAGGTGTCCATAAGATAATGACTTCCTCAATGTCTCATCATTAGCAGGTGGCAAAGTTAATTCTAGACCCAGCTCTCTACATTTCCTTTCTACCCAACCATAATGTTTCTCACAACAGAGCCAAGAAACATATATTTTAAAACTGAGAGGTTCAAATTCAGTCAAGTAACTAGCCCTGCTCACAAAATGAAAGAATGGGCTCGGCGCCTATAGCTCAACTGGCTAAGGCGCCGGCCACGTACACCTAAGGTGGCGGGTTCGAATCCCCAGCCCGGACCCGCCAAACAACAATGACGGCTGCAACCAAAAA